TCTCTCTCTCTCTCTGGTAGCCCCCCGCCTCCGTCTCTCTCTATTTCTCTCTCTCACACTCAATAAATGGAATAAAACTCTCTCTCTTTCTCTCTCTCTCTCTCTCTCTCTCTCTCTCTCTCTCTCTCTCTTGTGTTAGCTCTTAGTCTCATTGATTTGGCTACCTTAGGGCTGCGTTCCCCGCGCTCACGGCCTCCTACGGGCTCCTACGGGCAGCTACCGGTCCTACGCGGTCCTGGCCCTTGCAAGGCCCCAAAACCTCAAAATGCCCACCCTCCCGACGACCACCGACGTTGAAAATTTGATTGACGTTGAAATGTCTGAGGGGGGCAAAACGCAACCCTGACGGGCTGCGAATTCTCAGGGGGGGAAAACGCAACACTGACGGGCTGCGAATAGGCGTTATGCTGAGGGGAAGGCGGTAGTTGGCACTAAGTGCGCCGCAGGCGGTCATAGGGCTGGAACCCACAACCTCCTGAATGCCAATTGCGTGCCTAACCAGCTGCGGTAGGCCGCTGGAGGGTAGCAAACGAGCGGTGGGGCCGGTCGGAGGGGAGGCCCAGCGCAGCAACCGCCTCCTTGAAACCCCGCCATGCCGCGGGAAAAGGCGGGCTCCCAACCCGCTCGCTTTTCGAGTCTCCAAAACCTGAAATTTTCGCGGCTCGCCCTTTATCATTTTGGGCCACGAAAAAAAGTGTCGCGGTGTGAGTCCCCACTCGCGGTCGATCCTGTGCGCGCGGGAACTGCCAATCAGCGCTCGAGAAGCTTTTTGGCGGCTGCTATATATTCTGCGTGTTGCTCGTATGCCAACGTTCATTAATCGTTGGTAGGTCCCGGATACGGTTTGTGTTGTATCTCATCTGCGCGGCGTACGTGGTGGTAGTGGGGTCTTTCTATCTCTTGAATCAAACCGTCGTTTTCGGTCTTTCTGTTCCTTCCGTTCCAGTTTACTCGTCGCTATGGCGCCAAAGGAAGCAGCGAAGAAGGCGGAGAAGAAGCCCGTCAAGGCGGAGAAGAAGGTTGTGAAGGAGGGTGGCAAGAAGAAGAGAGTAAAGAAGTCGACGGAGACGTACAAGATGTATATCTACAAGGTTCTCAAGCAGGTTCATCCTGACACTGGTATATCGAGTAAGGCGATGAGCATTATGAACAGTTTCGTGAACGACATTTTCGAGAAGTTGGCTGCCGAGTCGTCAAGGCTGGCAAGGTACAATAAGAAGCCAACCATTACTTCTCGGGAAATTCAGACTGCTGTGCGGCTTATTCTGCCTGGAGAGCTGGCAAAGCATGCGGTGTCGGAGGGAACCAAGGCCGTCACGAAGTTCACAAGCGCTTGAGCTTCTTCTTTCACGCTGCGCCGCCTTCTCTCCTCGTGGTGCGCTTTCTATTCATGGTGTTTTTTAACACCACCTATATGTTCATGGATATTTGTCTCCCCTGATGTTGCACGTTGGTGTCGCTTGAGCTCTGGATGCGATCCAGGAAAGATGCGCTGCCGCAGCTCTGGAGCGAAAGGGTTTTGATCAGTGAGTACGCTGTGTTTCTTGACGATATTCTTTCTCGGGGAGCGAATTTGGTCTGCTACAGAGTGACGTATCGCGTGTACTCTATTGTGCGGTTTCTCTGTTGTGGGCGTGCTCTATTTTGCGAGTTTCCTGTTGTCCGTGAGTTGCCCCATTTGCGAGTTCTCGATTGTGCGCGTTCTCTAATTTGCGTCTTTTCTGTTGTGCGTGGGCTGTAGTTACGCTTTGTCTGGACCAGTCATTGGAGTCGTGCACTACTGTTTCGCTGTAAACGTCGTTATTACGTCATTAGTGAAACGTCAAATCGCGCTCTTGTCCTCTCCTTGAAGTGCGTTTGTAAAGGTGTTCGTATACTACGAATCGAATTGCGCGCCGGGTTCCTAGGGATCGACTCTTGCGAGAGCATGTGATGTCCCGAGGTATTTCCCCTGGAGGAGAGAGAGAGAGAGAGAGAGAGAGAGAGAGAGAGAGAGAGAGAGAGAGAGAGAGAGAGAGAGAGAGAGAGAGAGAGAGAGAGCGGTGAAATTTAGGTTTTAGACGCCAGAAGCGTGGTGTAATGTGATGAGCCCTATTTTGACCGTACAGAATTTCTGATCGGATCGCCCCTGGTCTTTCTTGGAGGGTGGACAAGGTGGTGTATATAAGAGAGAGAGAGAGAGAGAGAGAGAGAGAGAGAGAGAGAGAGAGGTTCGTCTAGGCGATTGATCGGGGTTGAAATGCTGAGCTCAGGTAATCACCCGCGACACAACAGATGGGGGACGAGTATCAGAGCTTGACAGATGGGGGACGAGTATCAGAGCTTGGACGTCGGACAGCAAATGGGGGGCGAGGATCAGATCGTGGACACTGGATATCGACTTGTTTGTGCAAACTTTCATCCGCGAATGCCCAACGCCTGTCTCTGTGTGCCTAACATGCCACGAGAAATGGATTATACCACCCGATCCTGAACTCTCTTCTTGTCACGATATCGACGTGTTTGTGCTGTTTTCGGTCACGTGTGCTCCGCATGGCAGAGTTAGGTTCACAGGTTGCAGTACATCTGTTTATAAAAGAGGTTGGCAACGAAGTATATTGTAATTAGAGAGAGAGAGAGAGAGAGAGAGAGAGAGAGAGAGAGAGAGAGAGGTTGGAGTGGAGAATGCAGAGTGACTTGAATTGTGCATGAGGATACAGATCAAGCCGGATGGCATGCCATATGGTGCTGGAGTTAGGCCATTTGTCGAAAAGTGCTCGTACGGCTTATTCATGCTAGCACAACGGGACGATTGTGGTTGAGGTTGTTCAGGACGGTAGTTGACCTGCCTTTAGCTGTTCATTTCTCTCTGTTGGACACTCGTACACAGGGTGCTGGAAAATGGATTTAGTAATTTGGTGCAAAATAGAGCGGCGGCTTCAGCTGCCTGCGGAATCGGTTGTGGAATTGCGGCGCGCAGTGCATTCTCGCACTACACTAGGGTTGAATATGTATCTGGTCGCAACCACGTCAAGGCGTTGATGTTTATGAGTGTACCAGTTTCCACTGCAGTATGCCCTCACAGAAAAGAAGCGCGTCTTCAGCCTCTTCATAATCGTTTGTAATATAGTCTTCTGGAGCAGTCGAAAGTGCCAGTTCGGGTCGACCGATCTTTATTAAGTATTTTTTTTTGGGAGTAATGCCTCGTTCGTTTGGTTCCATCATGTGGATTCGTACTTGGATCTTAATTTTGACAGTTCTGGAGTGTCTCGTCTGAGCTAGGTGTAGTTGGTGACCGATGTGTTTTCTCTTACAATACACACGTGGCTGGCAGTCGTTGAACTTGTATCCAAATGTGCAAAATGAGACCGAATCTCTGCGAGAACACGGAAAGATACGTTGCTGTATTTTGTCTTGTGTGTGTGTGTAGTGTAGCGAGGGCCGATGTGCTTCCTCATCTGATTTGTCTCGTCTGTATCTTCTGGGACATCTTCTCAGGGTAAACTTAGGGTCTCTCTCCTCTACTCGAATGTGCAGAATGAGGATGTATCTTCTGCCCCAGAATGGGAACTGTACCACGTTCTTTTGTCTTTCCAGAATGTGGTGTTATGGAGCGAGATCATTGCACACCGAGACCGTAATCACGGAGGCTTACAGCGTTTGATTCTGGCAGCGAATGTGCAGACCGAGGATAATTTTCCCCCTTGAGGTGGCGAACTGTTCATTTCTATTTATTTATTTGTGTTTTTTCTTTCATTCGCAGGGCCATGCTAATCTTATTTGTATCGTTTATCTAACGGATGTCCCGAAGGAGTTTTCAATTCTAGTGCGCTATGTTGGTGGCTAGAAATCGCGAACCTGCCCATTTTCTTTGTCACGAAGAAACTGACCATGTTCTCCTCTGTTCTTTTCTTTTGTTATTTCGTTCCTTGTTTCCCTATTTCCTTTATTGTGTTTGTCTTCTTCCCTTTCTTCTTTTTTTTTGAAAGGGCGACTACTTTCCAGATATTACCGTCGAACTGACCAGGCCTGCAAGGTAATTCAGAATTATAGAATTTCACTCATCTGTTTCAAGTGGAGTTCCAACTAAGGTCTGTGTTTCAACAGTTGAAGGGGTGTGCCGACTGACCTTGGTTAGTTGGTTCTCCTCTAGGTTTGTCCCCTAAAGATGAGAATTGCAGCAGGGTAGGTGTCTGAGGTACAGGTTCTACAGATGCTATGGTCGTGGCATGAAAGTATGAACCTAGACGCAATTCCTCCCTCTGGACGTGTGACTTTTCCCAAAAAGACAAATTAAACATGAAAGCAGCTATACTACGTGCGTGCGGCTCTGACTCTGGAGGTCGATGTCAGCGCGGAATTGTTCGGCCAATGAGATTGCAACATGCCAGCCTCTTAGCGATTATTATTGTTATAAACTTATTTTTATTAGTTTAAGCAGCTTTATCCCTTCATCTTATTGGCTAACGAGTGTCGTAACAAAGCGCTCTATCACGACGTTTTTTAAATTGGAGTGAGTAGTCCGTAAAGTGATTGTAATTGATTAACTGTGATGGGTTAGCCTTTTGATGGGTTGAGGTAATGTCAATAGAAACCTCGAGGTACAAACAAAGCCTATTAAAGCTGAAGCCGGAATGTCAATAGAAACCTATGTCACCAGGTGCCCGGGCCCGGACAACTCCATTTTTAGCAATTAAATGCACGAAAGAAATAAAAAAATTGGGGGTGTCTTCAATTTTTGTTTTGTTGAGAATTGACAACGAAATTTTCATCCCAAGGCAAAAGTTGTTCAGTTTATGTTTCTGCACAACATATATTTTTTTTCAGAGTTTTTGGAGGACTCCTTTTTTTTTTTTTTTTTTTTTTTTTTTTTGCAGTCCGGGCTCTGGCAGTCTGCCAGGGGAGGATGTCCGACCGGTTGTCCGAGCGGACAACCCCGGACGGTCAGGGGGGTCCCGGACGTCCGATCAGGTAACCTAGATAGAAGTCCTATTACGGAAACCCTATTACACTCAATGACTTATCCTGGCTTTCCCTTTGTCGTATGCAGTGATGAGAGTTGTATGGGGACTCCTTAACCTGTTGTTTTGTCGTATGCGGTAGTCCCAAACCTTGCATGACGTGGTAGGCGATAGAAGACAATCCTGTTCACCGTTCACATTTTGGTTGAGATAAAAAACCACATTGAAGCTGGAAAGTGACGTTGCATAATATTTCGTATATCCTTGATCAGCATTATAGCCGTTCGGGACGTTCGGACACCTCCATCGGCTGTTTTGCCGAATGACGGAATTTGCGCATTTTTTGTTGTTTATTTGAATTAGTTTGTTCTTCATTCCTCTCGCCATTATGGGGGGGTGTCTCCTACCGAGCACTATATTTTCATATTAAAAAAATTAAAGTTTGGGGAGGTGGTGGTATGACAATCCGATCGCTGGCCACTACCTTCCGCTACCTTCCGCTCCTACCCCCCCAAACGATATGTATGCATGTACCCCCCCAAACGATATGTATGCATGTACCCCCCCAAATGATATGTATGCATGTGTGTGTGTGTGAGAGAGAGAGAGAGAGAGAGAGAGAGAGAGAGAGAGAGAGAGATTGCTTGATTGATGGATTTAGTCAATCAGTCAATAGTTGATCAATCGTTGGGCAATTGACTAGTTGATTGGTTGATTGATTGATCGACCTTTTATTGATTTTGAGATAACCCAAAGCAAAAAGCAGAGGAGAACGAGTATTTGTGTGTGAGAGCGCGTTTTTGTGTGTAGAACTCCACAAAAAAGCATGACTGTGGTAAGAGTCTATTAGTTTTCACTGACTCATCTAGTGTGTGTGGGTGTGTGTGCGTGTATGTGAGAAATTTCAATCAATTAGTCGATCAATCGTCCAGGGTTGATTAATTGATTAATCTGGTGATCGAGCCATCCGTCAGTCGATCCATTGATTGATCATCAATGGTGTATGTTTAAGAAACCCAAGAAAACAAAACAGAAGAATGTGTGTGTGTGTGTGCGCGTGCGAGTGTGTGTTCGTGCTCTGTGTGTGTCTGTGTGTGTGTGTGTGTGTGTGTGTGTGTGTGTGTGTGTGTGTGTGTGTTGTCATCTTTGCTAAATACACCGCCACAAGAAAAAAGGTCTTACCACGTCACCTAGAGTTAGTGATTCCCATAGAAACGTGTTCGACTGTGTCAGCTACACAATTCCACAAAGAAGGGCTGTGTGTGCGTGTTTGCCTGTCTGTGACTCTGTTGCTTTCTCGTGCTCTATTCCTGTAAGTGCTCTCTCTCTCTCTCTCTCTCTCTCTCTCTCTCTCTCTCTCTCTCACACACACACACACACACACACACACACGCACACAGTATTCTCGCTGTTGAGCACCCTGCAAAAGACGTAATACATTCTCAGTTTTGTGTGGGTGGAATTAGAGTAGGGGACGAAAGTGCAGCACTTGGATCTTTCAAGATCCAAACTCCAAGATGAAAGTCACAAGAGAATGTGAGATCCACTCAAAAAAATGTGCGCCTTTTTTGTGGATTTGTGTAGAGTGAACATGACAACACGCACACAGACACAGATTGATTGATTGATTTGTGACGAAAGAGAGAAAAGAAGGAAAAAAACGAATGGTTTGCCCCCTCTGGAGGTTGCTTGTGGCCTTCCATCACGCACCAGCTATGTATCACCTGCAGCCGAGGGGTCGGACTTTGCAGGCGGACAGGTTTCTGGCCGCAGACGGCGGCTCTGAAGTCACAGCCACGATTTTGATGGATTTTTCCCTTGGGAAATAAAACGTAAAAACAAAAATGGGGTTTCAGGGTTTTTCGAGCCCTACAGCCGCATTTTGTTTTTCCAAATCGCGTATTGTTCGATGTTAAAATGAAAGGCATATATCTCAACTTATGGGGGTATGTTGCAAATTATTCCTAAAATAAAAATAAAAATTGAAATTGAAAACTGTGAAGAAACAAAAAGAAGATTTCCTTCTTTTTGGTTGTGTGTGTGTGTGTGAGAGAGAGAGCATGTATGTCTCAAACGTCCTGGCTGGCCTCATGACACTTCCATCGCTAGTGAGCACAATCTAATAGAATGAATCTACCGCTAGAACATGGAAATATACACTGCCACACTCGTTGTTCTGTTGCTGTGTGTGTGTGTGTGCGCGGGAGGGGGGGCGACCCTTCCCGCGCCAAGTAATCAATCAATCTATAACGAAATCAATCATGAAATCAATAAATCAACCAGTCTATCAACAAAACAAATCCCAATCGATCTATCAATCAATCTTTTTTTTTTTTTTTTTTTTTTTTTTTTTCAACCCTGAACCCACACCCTCCCAAAATTTGTTTTTTTTTTTTTTAAAATTTTCCGTGAGGGGTTGGGGTTGTGCAACCTCAAACAGCCCCCAAACCCTACCCCCTTCCCCCCCATTGGCTGCCACGTGCCGGCAAAGTTGCACGGCTGCGCGGCCCCGGCCGCGTATGGCCACCTCCTGGGGGAATTCGTAGGTCGCCAGGGTATGAGGTGGGGTGCTGCTCCATGCATGGAGAAGCTTAGGCAAACACACTAGTGGCAGTAGAAAGACGGACCCCACTGTTTGGCGGTCGTGGTGGCAGGAAATCAGCCCAAAATTGGAGCTGATGGGAATGGGCAAGCCAAAAGGAATTCCACTGCCTTAGCAATTTGTGGACTTCCTGAGGTTTCTGTTACTCAAACAGGAAGACTTGCCTTTTGGGGCAAGTTTGCCTCCAGCCAATCCTCATATGGGATGGGTAAATCTAGAGGGTGTTAGATTTAGGGTCTTGTTAGACACTCCTTGGGGCATCCTTGGGGCCGAAGGAAGTTTCCTTGGGGGTTTTGTAGGAAATTCCCGTGGTCGTTCCACCTATCCTTGGGATGGTCTCCCAATGATGATTCCTTTTGGCCGTCGACAGCCATTTTCATAATATCATAGTCAGCCATGGGGTTGGGCAATGCCTAGGTCCATTGGGTGATGTCCGTGTGGTCCAGCTGCCAAAGGCAGGAAAGTTTGAAAGGCACTGGTGACTGAAAAAAAAACAAAAACTTAAACCACCAGTGCTTGGCCCAGCTATTGAAGCCGAGCCTGAATATGCCCTGTGCGCTGATTTTTGCCGATCCTGCCGAGGCTGGGAACCAACATGGGACATTTGATGCTTGGCACAGGTACTGCCCTTATTCTGGACCTCCTGCCAGCAGCTGGAATGTAAAGGGGCGATAGTTTTCTTGTTTCCACTGGTGTACATGAAAATGACCTGGGCAGAAGAGCATCCAGATCCATCTAAAAAAATATTGTTGAATTCACGGGAAGCAGAAGCACAAACAGCTGAGAATCTTGAAAAGGAGAAAAAGAACAAAAAAAAAAAAGGGGAAAACTGAACGCGATTGCCCTCAGATATATCCGCTGCTGCAGCGAATTGCAGTCAGATACATTCTGGAAAGTGCTAACGTTACAGGGATGGTGGGCACTCATGAAAAACCAGTTTTCTTCCAAAAAAAAAGAAGAAGAAAAAAAAGCAACGATCTGTTTTTCCTTTTCATTCTTGGGTGCAGGTCCTTTTCTTTTCTCTTTCCCTCCTTATCGCTTTCAGCCTCCCAACGTTTCCACATAGCACAGCACCAGGACATCTTACAGTCCATTTGCCCTGTTTTTGTGGGCCCACACACGCCCTCCTCCATTGCACTGCTGGGCCTTCCCTGAACCCCGAAAACTGTGGCGCATTAATGGGGAATGCCTGCGGCCCATGTATGGGCCAAGTACTGGTGGTATAAAAGGAAATGGACCTCCCCGTTCAAAAGGCAAATTTCAAATTGGGTGCTGGAGGTCACGACGGTGATGTGGGGCAGGTGACGTCTATATCTGCAACGATGAAAACGAGCATTTGCAGCGTCGCAGTGGAGTCCTCGTACGTTGTCAGGAATTTGTGAGTGCCCCGCAAAGGTCCATTGACATCGCCTCTGGATGCCTAGGCCGCCATGCCTGTGTTGAGTTGAGCACACGTGGGGAACTTCATCGGGGACTTGGCGCTGATGTTATTGTGATCGTGGCGAGTTGGTAGGCTGTTGTATTTTCGTGGTTCATGACTATTGCAACACATGTGTCGATGGAGGGTGGTAGCTATGACGGACGTGCGAAGTTGACGACGGTCGAGAAGACGGTTGTGACGGCTGTGCACATTCGCTGTCAGTAGGAGAAGGCAATGAGCAGAATGAGAGTGCGGAGGGGGAAAACACTTCATCAAGTCCCGGTCGAAGGTCTGGATCCTGTGGCCATCACCGAGGCTGCAGTTCAGGTTTGTTGCGCCATGGATTGCAGTGTTCTTCCATGAGCGATGCCAAGGTGGTGGATGAAAAGGAGGACGGGGCGGGCGTGGGAGGATCTCAGGCAATGGGATGATGCGACGGAGGAGTGCTTTTGGGAGAAGTTGAGTATGTCGCCACATGTTTTTCAGGTGATGGTGATTGCATCCAGTGTGGACT